GAAAGGTAAAATATTATAGAGTGGCACTTGCGGGACAGCTCTGTATCTACTGGTGCTGCTGTCATCACACCCAAGATGACGGCACCCAGCAGCAATCTCAGAGCTTTTGCATGTCTACACAAATAAAGCTTCTACAGGTAAAAAAAAAAAAAAAAGCATCCACTGAATACTTTAAATGCACATATAATCTTATGGGAAGATTTTCCTCTAAAATGTTGTGGCAACAGGGTCTCTTTAACTGTTAACTTTACCAGCAGCATATAATAATTTTCCCTTTACTCCCTGCTGCTCCATTCAGCTGCTTGACGTGAAGGGAAAGAGCCCTGTAGAAGCTCTGAGACATTCTAGTTGGCGCTTACACAGCTCGGATTGAGGATTCCCTTTCCAACCCCATGTGACAATACTGGGCCCAGGGGCGGATTGACCATTTGGAAACTCGGGCACTGCCCGAGGGCCCGGGGTCAGTAGGGGGCCCCATGAGATGCCCCTGGTACCTTTTTCATAGGCTTTTTTGAATTTGGGCAAGGACACAGGGGCCCCATGATCCCCTATTGCCCGGGGGCCCCATGAGTTGTCAGTCCGCCCCTGACTGGGCCAATCACTAATCACCAGCGCTTTCACATGAAAGGAAGGGGAGTGACTTACATGCTCATGCATATTTAATGGTGTATTGGCCATTTGGCTCTATAACAGGGGTGTCAAACTGGCGGCTCTCCAGCTGTTGTGAAACTACAAGTCCCTCTGCCTTTGGGAGTCATGCTTGTAACTGTCAGTCTTGCAATGCCTCATGGGATTTGTAGTTTGGCAACAGCTGGAGGGCCGCCAGTTTGACACCTGTGCTCTATACACTCTCTAGGTGTAGGTGCTGGGAATGCTGGCTTTTGATGTCTACGACCATAGGCTCTGATTTGCTTTTACTCTTCAGTACAAGCGGATACTGGAGGAAAAGTCCTTTCTTATCCATGGGCAGTGCCACAACAGCACTGGACTGCAAACCATGATTTTGTGTCAGCTCAGTAAACCATTTGCAGAATTTCAGTGTAAATTGTTGACTTTTGCTCAACTCTACAGGACCAGCTGTGACCTTTCCAAGCCTATCCCTTGTTATGTACATTAGGACACCACCCCCTGCGGCTATACTGCAACTGTGTGAGTGGGCAGAGCTCATCACAGGGGACTACAGGAGGAAAAGTCTTGCAATCTCAACTTCGAATTAAACCATATTCTTTGTTTTCCATAACAGACATTCTAGACTTGTGCCATTGGCAGCTAGAAAGAAAAATAAGTATTTTTCAAACCACAAACGGTAGTACATTACTATTAACAATATGTAAAAAATGCAGAATGAGGAAAAATGAAGAAAAAGTTATGAAAGTTTTAAACAAATGTGATGCCAAGGAAGAGAGAAAACAATGAAAAATAAGGTTTAGTACTGGTGACCCTGAGATTTGGTGTGTAAGCCCTAAAATATACCTAATGATCCTGAGTCTCCAATGTATGAGTATAGCTTGTGTTGGTGTATTCCAGCCAAGCCCGCATGTCATCGTCCAGGTGTTTCCTGCACTATAGTCCAAGACTTGCCCTAACCTGCTCTGTATGGAGATTAACACAGAATATCCTGTAGAGACACCAAGCCCTTCCCTCCAACACTGACCTACACTGCAGTCATTACTGAATCCACCCCATAGACAGATGAGATCAGTTGGCAGGCTTTGTCAAGCCACTCATAAGAGATTCTTAGCAAATAAGGAAAAATATTCTGTTGGAAATGAATTTGTTGATATACCTGGGACCTATACTTCATCGAAAATTGTAATGCTCGGGAAACGTTACACTAAAGAAAACAAAAATCTTACCGATAACACAAAAGATAACCAGACACAAGTACACATGTGCAAGAATAGAAATATTCGGTCTCAAATAAATATAACTGTGCAAGGTTACTCATGAAAGATTTATATTTGCCCCCTTTTCAGCTTTACCTATTTGAAAAAGACTCCCTTCGCTTTTTAATGGAAAAGTGACAAAGTCTCTTTAAGGTGTACCTGTGCCCAGATTATGCACACTTAAATATTTACAAATTATCAAGCAGTAAAATTACTTTAAAATAAGCTGTTACTCATCTCAGTAGCTATAGGCATTGCGTCTAAGGTGCTCAAAAGAGGCCTTGAAACCTCAGCTATTTGCTATGGAGAGCAGATTTTGGCAACCTGCCAGCCCTCTAATTATAAACACACAGCAGGTGTTTCTAAGCCAGGGGTGCCAAACTCAATTTCCTTGCGGGCCACATCCGCTTTATGGTTGCTTTCAAAGGGCCAGTTCTATCTGTAAGACTATATAAACGTATCTACTCTTTATCATAATAAATAATTGCCTCTGAATTCGATTATTACTGATTTTAGTAATAACTGAAGACTCAAGCCGTGAAGGGCAGGTGCAGACCGGCATGGAGTCCCCTCACATTCCTGTAACAGATGAAGTCTAAAAAGGAGAGTCGCACACCACTGGTATTATCCACTGAAATTTATTGGAGGCTGGTTAGACAGAACATGGTTCTGCCATGGTGAGCATGTTCTGAGCATTCGCCATCACAATTTCATGTGGATGATACAATCTGTGTGTGACCCTCCTTTTCAACTGGCATAGAATTGTATTCAGGGGCGGACTGACCATTTGGAAATTCGGGCACTGCCTGAGGGCCCAGGGGTCAGCAGGGGGCCCCATGAGATGCCCCTGGTACCTTTTTCATAGGCTTTTTTGAGTTTGGGCAAGGACACAGGGGCCCTATGATCCCCTATTGCCGGGGGCCCCATGAGTTGTCAGTCCGCCCTGATTGTATTATTCCCGTAATAATTGTAAACAGATATTTAGAGCCCCCTGCCATCGGAAGCCAAGCATCCCCCACCCTGCCTTACATCACAGTGCAGCCCATCCTTACCTTGTGCTGCTGCTGGGAAGAAGCTGGGGGAGGAGCTGCAGGAGAGGTGCAAGGACCACATGAAATGGCTTGAAGGGCCATATTCGGGCCTCTGGCCTTGTGTTGACAGATGTGTTCTAAGCAGTTAGTGATGGGCTGAAACTGGACTTACGCAGGATATACATGGGTCAAATTTTGAAAGAATTTTCTTTTAAAAATCATAACTATGAATTTTCGTTCGAATTTCGCACCATTAGTGGGCACAGCAACGGCCAATTTTCACGTGGCCATCAAATTTGAGTGATCGGGCATGTTGGAAATTTTTGGAAAAAAATTAACAAATTTCTAATCAATGATGGGAGAATTGTGTGAGAAATGTAATCGAAAAAGAAATGAGCATGAGCTGTGACCAGGAAAAAAAAGAAGATTCCCAGCCACAAAAATTATTTTCTGTTGCAACATGAGGTGAAATTGAAGGCTTGGTTGGTGGCACCATTGGATTACAAAATGCACAACATTGCAGGTTTTCTAAAGCAAATTCATTCAGAATTTGACCCATGCATGGCCTGCATAAGGCTGAGTTCACATGAACAGTACAGTAAAAACAAGTAATTGATCCAGGTTTTTACCATCCACTTACAAAATAACATGGTGGCTGCTCAAGTCCATTTACATTGCTCTGACCATGAATTTGCAACAATTTTTTTGGAAATGATCAGATTTGCCTCCTATATACCTGCAAAGTGCTGCTTAGCAACTTCAGAAAATTGAACCACTGCAGCTTGCTTTTCAGGGGGGTGGTAAATTTGCTGCCAGTGTGATCAAGGCTTTAAGTCTTTGTTGTGATCTTTGAGGATCCTGGGTTCCAAGCAGTACCCTGTTAGCTTACCCCAGCCTTACTCATACACACTGGTACATAATATGGAACCTGTATGGCCCAGGAGGTTGCAGTGCTGCACAGAAATGTGTGCTAACACTGTCCGATTAAACAAAGGGGGATGCTCTCTGATTCTAGCACTATTGCAGTGCCTCCTGGACAATATTAGCAATTTATTGATTGTTTTCACGTGTGCCCGGTATTGCTCTGTAAATCCCCAAACCATGTTTCTTCCACATTTGACACGCAAGACATGGCAGCAAAACTCATTAATTTTTTAACAGGAAGAATTATTTCTTTTGTTACGTATCTTACTCCATTATTTTTATATAGGATGTTTACTGTTTTCGTAAATATTGATTTATATAATGCCAACATCTTCAACAGCACAGTAGAAAGTAAGAATGTATGGGTGTTGTCATTTAAATGGGTAAAGCAATGGGAATAAGATCTCTGTCCAAATGTGCTTGCAGATTAATAGACGGAATAGATACAAGTTATAGATACAAGTATGCCAGTAAAGCTTGGAAAAGCATTAGTTTTGGGAGAAGATCAGAAAAACTTCTCTTGGGATGTTGGATGTTGTGGATCAAGGTTATCCTTTGTCCTGAAAAAGATGTGCTAAATGCACCCTTTAAGACTTGAAGGATTACTGAAAAAACTGACTGACACCTGGAAAGGCATTCAAAAGAAAGGAAGTAACACGAGAGAAGTCCTGGAGACTTGAGTGAGATCTGGTGGCCAAAAAGGAGTAGAAACATCTTATGGTGATCATGCGGTGATAATGTGGTATATGCCTGTGGTCCTCAGAGGAGGTAACAGAGTGTTCGGGACTTCGAATCTTGCTTATTGCCTTGAGGAACTTTAGACACACAGTGTACTGTGTAATGTGTAGACAGCTGTGTCCACAGTTTCATTTGGCAACAAGCAAAGGTTCAACTCTTCCCACTGGGCACAATGAATAATTTAAGGACCTTTACAACCATAAAGGAATAAGATACATAATAAATACCACATAGAAAGCACATTTTTTACTACCTTCCCTTACAAAATCAGGTTATACTTTAAACCTGGAAGAACTGTTTAGTGACACACAGGAGAATCTTAACACTTTGTGGTCTACCTCTCTTTGCCTTTTTATGTCTGAATGTTTTTCTTACTAACAAAGTATAGAAAACACAATTCTTGGCAATACATAGGTAAGTGCTACCTGCAACCACAGTTTTCTACAACCATGTCTTCATACTGTTTGTAGACCACGTTGTTGCCAGAGTCTATGTATAGAATACTTATGGGGCTGAGTTTGGATGGGACACAGCAGCTGGGTGGCGTGGACTCAGGGTCCATTGAATTCATTAAGGTCTGGATTATGGCATGGTTGGTAGGCTCCAGATGGGATCTTAGAGGAAAATCACACATACCCTCACAATGGTAAGCTTCATAATCCAATGGGGCTATTATCCAGTCATCCCATCCAAGCTCCTTGAAGTTGACATGCAAAGGCTTCTTACTACACCTTGTTTTAGCCCTCTTGCCCTGTCCTTTGTTGTGACTTGTCCTGGTTGGCAATGTTGTTCTTTTCCTTCTTCTTTTGATGACAGATCTGTGGTCATGATCAGGAGGATCTAATCCTTTAGGGTTCTCCATTGACTTAATTTTGTCCCTGATCTCCTTGAAAAGATTCTCCTTCCTCTTAGAATAGGAGGACACCACCAGCAAAGCTTTTTCCGGTTCTGCTAAGCCCAGGCGATTAAATCCAAGCTGGGCTGGTGGCAAGTTTTGGTCTGTGAGATCAGAGACTATCTTTAAGGTAAAGCACAAAGGCTCACCAGGACTCTTCCTGTTGTCCATGGCTTTCCATACATTAAATACTTCCCATTTGGAGAAGGTGGCAATCAGGTCAGCAGAACGGGAATCTAAGAGGATAGGCTCCTGCCAGGTGGTAGCACAAGTGAAAAGGTGAAGATGAACAACATTCCCAGAGTCTGATACCACAAGGCTTATGTTTTCTGGAGGTTTGCGTAAAATCCTTAGCTCAGCACCCACAATCTCATCCAAGGACGACAACGTGCTGGTGTCAAACAGGTAATTCTGCTCCAGGGACTGAAGAGGAACATTATCTGGAAAGGTATAAACACAGAACCTTAATATTCAAATTAATTTGTTTGCATCATGTTAGTAATACTGACATCCCACCATGCTTTATAGAGTATAGGGGACCCATGACACTACCCTCTGTCCTAAAGGAGGTTACAGTGCCCTTACCACAGTCATACAATTGCACGCACATAATTACTCTACATGCAAACACCTAAATACAAAGCTGAAATTTAAGCATGAGAGCTGTTTTACCTGGCATAACATTTATAACTCTGTTCGAGTAGTATTGTGTTTAAAAGCCTTATGACATGACTACTTTCTTTTTCACCCGTGCAGCTTCCAAGGTCAGCTGTCCTACCACTGGACAATTACTCTGCAGTTTGATAAGGCTAGTTTACTGTCCAATGAGCATTCAAGTGACGCAGGAAGCTAAATAGGAAACAACTACGGTAGCTTTTTGTACATTTTGGCAGATGTGTATAAACCACAAAACTGGCCAAACAGAATGTAAAATTATTTGACATGTAAACATAAATCAGTTGTGAATTTAGCCATCTGACTGGGGTTTTGTTTTAACCTCTTAGCATTTATTTTTTATATTATGAAGGAAATCAAAAGCACACATAGAAAATAAAATTCATACAAATCTCTAGATTAACATACAAACTTCATGCAGGTAGTGTTAGAATGTGAGCCTATGATACCAGTGCTGCATGACAGGTTTGTTAAACACAAAACCACATTACCACCCACTTAGAGAGCTTGCTGACTGGAACCAATCAGATGTTTACCATTATCCACTGTACATTCTACTATAAAAGTAAATATTACAATCTGGTTTATAGGAATTAGAAATCAGATTAAAATGTGTAATCCTATACATTGACCATTACCCATTTTACTTTTTTTTTTTGCCTGGGCAAAAAGAAAAAAAAGCACGTTCAGTATATCTCTGCAATATGTGCACATTTCCAATGTTTTGTCTTTTAAAAACACTACAATTACAGAAACAAATACACCCGCTGATCTGCTTGAGATCCAATGAGCTTCTAACTTCCTGTTTAAACTGACAACATGCTTCTGCTGCACTGACATCCAAGCAGTGTTGTCAGCCCTTTCAATTCTCTCCTGCTGACCCACAGAACATGTCTACCTTACATTATAGAGATGATTAGAGTATGGGGTGTTCTAGAGTCCGGACGTTTTAGAGGGGTAAAACAGGGAAATATTCATCATGTACTGAATGTGTTTTTATTTGCCCAGACATATTGTACAACAATGGCTTCACTGTGTATTTTTGAACATATTTATGTAGAGACTATAATATCAAAAATATATTTTTCTCCTGCTTTGAAATACTCTACATATATACACCATGTGTTAATTTGTCAGAACTGTTCCTGTACCTGTACCTTTCTTGAGAAAGTATCCAGTTATGCTACAATTCATGTTGATAGTGTAAAATCCACCTTTCTGTATTACTAAATGCATCCATTTTTATTTAAAGTCAAACTCTGGGCTATTTTTTTTAAATGTCCTCCAGACAGCAGAAAAACATGCTTTGAGGCAAAGACCAGCACTGATGTCATCACGTCAGCACCACTCTTCATTATCAAGGACCACCCACAAGCAAATCATGTGACTGGCCAGAAGACATCCAATACAGGTAAGTATACATAAAAAGCATAAACAATGCATAAAATCCAGCCAGCAGGGTGCCTTAAGGGTTAACCCACATGTGCAGCAGCCACCTCCTCTCCACTGAAATAGTTTGACAGGCGGCAAGAAGGTGACACATCTATCTTTGTAACACACAGCACAGAATATTGATATTCAGGCCAAAATCCACCCCTAAGCAAAAAATCTCTTCCAACCCTCTTCCATCTCACCATCTCCAGAAAAAAATCTTCCCTGGAAAAATCCCCCCCACCCATCATAAAAAAAAAAAAAAAAAAAAAAAACTTTCTCAAGCAAACCTACCCCCCTACCCCCCAAAAAATCTCTCTCTCCCCCCAAAGGAAAATTTCTACTGTTCAGTCCATCACTCACCTCTACAGACAATAACTACAGCTCACTTCTGCACCCCTTGCCTATCATCTGTAAACCCCAGCTTACCCCTTACCTTTGCACTCCCTCATCCATGTCTTGGCCACAGTTCTCCACAGTATCTCTTCATTCACTGCTTACCTCTTCACCCCCTTATACACCAGTTATCTATTCACCCCCTTGTCCACTGATGACCTCTGTACCCTTCATCCACTGCTCACCCCTGCACCCCCTCATTCACCACTGATAATATCTGCACCTCTGTTACTTCACCACTTTTCTCTGCTCCTTTCATCTACCAATGCCCACTTCTGCCTCACACCCTAGCACCACTCTTCCACCACTGTATCCCCAACAGGTGGCTTGGCAAAGGTCAGAATAGCCCTTAAATATGAGTGAGCCTGTCCAGTAAGGAGAGAGTGGAAGAAGAGGGCAAGATGTGAGGCCGTGAGGAAGGAGGCTGCAAGGAGGCCCAGTAGGATGAAGCCCACCTGCAGGCCTGGAGCTGGAAAGGTAGAAAAGCTTGGAACTCACTGGCCCCCTAAGAGGGGACCACCTGTATGGCAGAGAAGGAGTAGCCCAGCTGATAGGCCTGGTAGCAGCAGCCAACCCACAAGCGGTACAGAGAGGATCTAAGTGAGGTGGATAGGGGAAGCAGCACTATGGTGGGAAACCAGATAAGCCCCCTACTTGTGACCGTTCACCTCCTTAAAGGTACATGAGCTGGATCCCCTGCTCAGGGATACCTCCAGATTTGTGGGTGAAGAGAAGTTCATCTAGGGTCTGGAGTGGTACACTAAGGAGACACTCGCTAGCTCTCCGACAAGGATTGTGCTACAGAGAAGGCTTGTAAATAGTTCCATGAAGTTGTCCTCAGTTGATCGGTACCCTTGGGAATCCTGTACACCCCTAACCCTATCACAGTTTAAATCCCTCAAAAAAAAACAAAACAAAACCAAAGCTTAATGACTGATTTCTGAATCAGGATGCGAGCTGTTGTGAAACTGCGTGATGCCTGGCTGTGCAGGACTATAGAGGGACCCAAATCTTCAGCAACTCCTAAGGGGGTAGTGCTACATAACGACACAAAGTCATGACAGGTATTTCACACATGGACCATTTAGATTGTGTTCTTGGGTTCATCCTGCTTTCGTGACATTATTTCCGAACTTTCTTGAAGGATCTGTGTTCCACATGGTGCAGTACCCATTACCCAGTCCCTTACCTCTGTTAGCCTTTCTTATTACAGCCCCCTCTTTTGCCTATGTTTCCCACTATTGCCCCTTTTCCACATTCCTCAATTGCATGATACCAACAATAACTTGGCTTGAACGCACAATATAACTATGACTTGCCACAACAAACCATGATAGCTGTATCTTGTACTGTGGCTGCCGTATTTACATGGGCGGCAACCTAAGAGCCCACTATATGCAGCGGCGTATTTAGGTTTTGTGCTGCCCTAGGCAACACAAAAATTGGATGCCCCTCCCCCAGAGAGTCATCCACTAACATACATTCCCCTCTGGCAAGAGAGAGAAAAACACTCATCTTCACAGCTTCGGACATCCCTGGGAATGAGAGTCAGGCTCTGCATACACCATCAAGCAACCCGCAGCCTCTCCCCTGATCCCACCTGGTCCCCATGTTGCAAGTGTCCCTTCTTCCAGGGGGCGGAGTTGCCCCCCCTGAAAAATGCCGCCCTAGGCAAATGCCTTGTTTGCCTTGTGGTAAATATGCCCCTGACAATATGATATGGTATCTGAGTGGTATCTGAGTAATATAGACCTATGATTTCTGGGTCCTGACTTTTGTAATTTGTATAGTATACTGCTTCTCATTTTACCGAAACATATAGCTTGGAATTCTTTTCTATAACTTTATGTATGGCAAAAGGAAATATACATAGAAGGTAATAATTGCACTGTAAGAAAAATGAATAAGTGTCTAATTTATCTAAGACTGGCTGGACCAGCAAATTTAGTCCAACAGCTGACCATTTGATGCTTAAAAAAGCTTCCAAGAATTCCAAACTTCATCCTTGGAGAATGCCATGTACACAAGAGGTAGGATGTTTCTTTTAAAGAAGAAAAGCTGTTTTCAATATTTTTTACTTGTACTGAACATACTGCACTTTGTGTACAGGCCTGCTTATGGTCAGGGCTGTTTTAATTTGATTAAAAAATACTTTAATTACTTAAAGTGGAGCTCCATTCAAAAGGGGAGGTTCTGCTTTAAGGCCTTGTCCCCCACTCCCTGTTAAGGGTTGGCACCTTTGGGGAGTGGGTACCTGATTTTGACAGGTTCCTGCTCTCACTTCTGCTGCGTTTGCCTAGACGATCGGAAGTGGAAGTTGTCCACCCTCCCTTCCTGCAGTCTTCTGGGGCAGGTGACAGGTCCCAGAAGACTACAGGACCATTCACAAGGTGCAACAATAC